TATATATATATATATATATATGTGTGTGTGTGTGTATATGTGTGTGTGTGTGTATAGAGGGGTTATTTTTAGAACAATAGAATTGTAATAACCTTGAAAATTAGTGTATCATGTGTTATTTCATATGATATTTTTCATAAATACTTTAGAATAATGATGAACATATACTTATTTTACAACGTGTTTATAAAATTTCACATTATGAATCAAATACATATGAAACAAACATATCGTAAACCAAATATATGTTCATTATTACATTAAAATTAAATGCTATGATTTTTGAGATAAATGTTCTCAAAGTTATCTCATTACACCCCTATACATACACACATCATACCTCCATTTTTCTTCCATGGCCAGCTCAAGAAAGCATATGATCTGAGAACCCATCATATCGGCACCAGGCTAACCCCCACCGCCGTGGGTCTCCACCTCCGGCTCCCCCACCCCTACAACCTCGCCACCTACTATAACGTGACCCCAGACGGCCATCATCTCTTACAACCCGCTATGCGAACCGACTAATCCCAGGGCAACCACCTGCTTTGCAGATAGCCCAGAGTCACCACATTTGAACCGCCGTGGCCACAAGAGGATTTTTATTCCTCCTTGGATTTGAACCTAGGACCTCCTGGTACTTTTGACCTTTGGAGTCAAGCTCAAACCAATCAGACACCACCCTTGTGGTTCATCTCTTACATCGTTGATATCTCCAACGATGGTAAAATAAAACGTAAAACAGGTAACTTTGTCTTACTTTCTCGGTACCAATTACGCGATACAAAACTATTTTAGCAAGTACAAAAAATGGGTCCAAATCACCATTTACTTTTAAAAGTTTTCAACACTATTAAATAGAAAGAAATTTGATTATTATCCAACCAAAATAAACCAAATCAAAATTTGCACCATTTGGGTTTGACTTTGACTTTTTAGAAGAAAAAAAACACAAATTAGGTGGTTTACAGTTTTTGAGTAGAGAATGCATACATTTCTTCTAATCTCTTTTCTGAAGGTCAAAAATCAAGAAGTCTTTTTGGTCATTATAGAGATCACTTCTCATGCTTCTCCACCCCTGTTGAACCTGTCCACATGTTACAACCAAATTGGTAAGCTACTAGCAAATCATAAACCAATCCAAACTGTTTGTTATCAGCTTAATGCGACTTGCAGCTTATTCCATGACTGTTTCGTAGTGGTTTAATGATACAGAAAGTGGTTTATTCTGTAAGCTTCTAGGGGGAAGCTTTAAGCAGAAGACTAAGTTTTTTCCAAACTTACCTCTTCCAATTAAAAAAGCATGCTCCTTCCATCTATGAGAAAACCGTTTCAAACAAAAGTTTTTTCAATCTATATTGATAGATTAATCCACACAGACAACTTTATCCATATAGGACTTGATGAAAAACCAAGTAGCCCCTTAGAGCCTGTTTGTTATCAGCTTAATGAGCTTAATGGGGTTCACAACTTATTCGATCAGCTATATTTGACTGTTTGGTAGTGGCTTATTTATATAGAAAGTGGCTTATTCAGTAAGCTTCTAGAGGGAAGCTTTATGCAGAAAACCAATTTTTTTCTAAATCTGCTCCTCCCAATTAAAAAAGCACTCTTTCTATCTATGAAAAAACCCTCCCAAACAAACACCTTCCGAATCTATACAGACAGATAAATCCACACAGCCACTTCGTATATCCCACTCAAAATAATATCTAGAAGGTGTGGGATGTATGTAGACCTGAGTCACCTGACATCTACCCCAAAGAGTGGAACGGTTGTTCCCATTAAGACCATTGGTTTGTGCAAATGTGTCGATGATAGTAGCATATGACATTGACAAGAAAAAACACTATGAATAACGGGTGAGAACTTGACAACTCATTCCCCACTTGTAATGAATTAGACTTAAAGAACCGAACTAAACAAACCCGATATGTCCAACTTGAAAGTAGGTTTGTGGCAGATATGTGGAACCTCATCAGTTTACTCTCCAAAAGATTCCTTAGGAGAGAAGGGGTTTCAACATAAATTGAAGGTGAGAGTCCAAAATTAATAACCAAAACTGACCTTGATAAAAAGAACCCTAAATTCTCTTTTCTAAAAGGCAAGACCCCCCCAACCAAAAAAAAAAGAACTTCTCTATGCAAAAGGGTAAAACAGTAGAAAGATGTCATTGCACGTAGTCTTTCCCTTGCACGTAACAAGACTCAAACTCATGACTTTCTTTTACCAATTTGCCCTCAGGGAAGTGCAATGGAAAATCATTTCAAGATTTGCTTTTCCATTTACCCTTGTTGCATAGCATCTACAAAATTAAGCAGTCCCCCCCTCCAAGTAAAAACTTCTCTATGCAAAAAGGTAAAACATTAAAAAGATGTCCATGCACGTAGTTTTCCCTTGCACATAGCAAGACTCAAACTCATGACCTTCTAGTCACAAACGAATAACTTCACCGATTTGCCCTCAGGGAAGGGTAAAACAGTAAAAAGACTCGAAAGTAACTTTACCAATTAAAACTTCTCTATGCAAAAGGGTAGTAAGAAGATGTCATTGCATGTAGTCTTTCCCTTGCACATAACAAGACTCAAACTCACGACTTTCTAGTCACAAATGAATAACTTTACCAATTTGCCCTCAGGGAAGTGCAATGGAAAAGTATGTAAAGATTTGCTTTTCCATTTTATCCTTGTGAAAAACAGAAAAAGAAATGGCTGAGAATTACAAAAGTATACGTACTTGAACGTCTTGCTGAGCACCCATTTCCATTAACAGTATATAAACTTGGTCTCCGTTCTTGGCCTAGCGATAAAAGCTCTTGCACTCTCTCCGGCCAATCTGAATTCAACCTTCGAGCAAAGTCCTCCACTTCTCTGAGAAACAAAAGAAAGATGTCAAAAAGCCGAGCATACTAATAATGTGTTTATTCATTCCCAAATAGTAATGTTTCAGGCAATTACGAGCGATATCAAGAATGTAATACAAGTGGATGAAGAAATACATTAGAACACGAATGTCATGAAACGAAATATTATCTACATGGGAGAATATGTGAAACCTCGACACGTTACTTTCCAAAAGTGCTCCTGAAAACAGAAGGAAGGTTCCAACATATACCAAGGAGAAATGGTCCAATTATAGCCGATGTGGCACGCTACACGGGCACAGATTGTTCCGAGTGTCTGGAAGGTGCTAGACAGTACCGATTGCCCCAGAGCGTCGAGTCCCTAGAGTGGTAGACTGTGGCTTTCACACCATGTGAAAATATGTGAAACCCATGGCACTATAACACGCCCCCTCCAATGGAAGCTATACGGGCACAGATTGTTCAAGTGTCGAGAGGGGTTAGACGGATACCGATTGCCCCAGAACATTAGAGTGGTAGACTGTGGCTTTGATACCATGTGAGAATATGTGGAACCCCATCAGTAGGAGAGACGATTCCAACATATATCTAGAAGAAATGGTTTAAATATGATGTGGGACTCTATTTCTTTGCAGCTTAATGAGCTTAATAGGACTCAACTTATTCGGTCAGCTATAAATGACTGTTTGCTAGTGGCTTAATGATATGGGAAGTGACTTATTCAGTAAGCTTCAAGGAGGGAGCTTAATGCAGCAAGTCAAGTTTAATCCAAACCTGCTCCTTCCAGTTAAAAAACGCGCTCTGTACATCGATGAAGATACCCTCCCAAACTATACAGACAGCTTAATCTACACATACACCTCTATCCATACATGACTTAACGGAAAACCAACCGAGCAACCCCTAACACGAGAGGCAACAGGTAAGTAGTCATTCCTTCAGTTGTGCAAACCTGAACCATCAATGATCATAAAGCTTATTATAAATTTTTGACATGAGCCAATACAATGTGGTTCTACATCCTTTTTTTATATTACCATAGCATACACCAATTTCAATCTCTAGTAACGAAATGCAGCTTCGGGCGAGTTGGGTTCACCAAGGCTGCTTAGCTTAGCAAGGATTGGGGAGGGAAGTCCATGTATGCAGCTAGGGGTGTAAATGAGTCGAGCTTTTAACGAGCTACTCGAGCTCGAGTCAATCCCAAACACAAAATAAAGCTCTTTTAACTTAACAAGTCGAGCTCCATTACATCAATGTTTGACTTGACTCGTTTGAAAGCTCGATTAAACTCTACGAATCGAACCGACCCGAGCCATTTGAGCATACGCTATTTCCAGCCAAACATATTTATATGTTCACAAATTATATAATGAAAATATAAAAATCAACGAGCTTGAGTAAATTAACGAGTTAATCGATCTCGAATTCGATCTTATAAATGAGCATCAACCTCGAGCTCAAACATTGAAAAAGTATTTGAGCTCGAGCCTGATATTGGTTTTTCGAGCCGAGCTCGAATAACCTGTTACTAAGCTCATTTACACCCCTACTCCCAACCATCCAAGAATGTTCATCCTTCATAAAAGTTCATGCGTCTAAAGCCTCCATGAAAAAAGCTTCCAACTATGTGAGAAGTTCTAAAGACGTAAAGATTCATCGGTCACTAATAACTGACCAGTAAAATTTTGAGAATTTAGCCATCCATACCCAATCCATTGAGAATTTTTTTGATGATATTCCCAATAATAGAAGGTTTAAGGAAGCAAAGGTTTTGTGACATTATGAAAAGCAGACTACAGTGATCAACTAGATAAACAATGGTATAGAAGYATAGTTGAGATCACCCTGAAATTTTAAGCCTCAAATTCTCATATTTTTGAGGTAGTTTAGAATCACACAAACACTATAACTGCTATCAAAATTAG